AAAAAAAAAAAAAAAAAAAAAGAAAAGAAATAAATAAAATGCATAAAGTATTGAAATTATGTTTAGAGAATGTAGTAGCTCTTCCTTTTCTTTCATGGTCAAAATGTTGAAATTTGGGCAGATAATGTGTTTTTGTCCAAAGGGCAATATAATTTCACCAAGAATAATGTATATGGGATTCCAGTCCATAGCAAGCATTCAAAATAATGATGGCGTGCTAACTATAGAATGCATATGCATTGCTAGAACAGCTACCATGCACCTAGTTTGGATACCATTAAATGGGCACATCAGCTGCAAATGGACAGAAGTTTCTAATACAAGTGAAGACACAGACTTGGGGCTTCTACCTGGAGTAGCACTTGCCAGGGTCCTGTGTCTTACCTCCCTCCTCACCCCCACACCACCCTGTGACCAGTCACACCTGTGGTACTTGGAACATAAAGTGTTCTAGTATATTTCTGGATCTTGGGTATACCAAAGGCAAAATGCTCCACTGTAGACTCCTCTCGATAGGCAGCGAATGACAGAGGTTCTTTTCCACCTGCAGGACAGGGTGGAGATAGAGGTGGACTGTCAGTCCCCACCCTGCACAAATGCCCCTGTGAGGATTCCCAGAGGAGGCTGCTTGCTGACAGTGGTGACTGACTTCAGGGCTTTGGCCACCCCATGGTCTGAAGGGACCTCGTGGCACACTTATACCCCAGTTGGGTACACCCGTTGGAGAGCAGGAGGAAGAAAACTCATCTCAACACCCACAAGACAACCACTATTAACATTTTGGTTTACTTCCTTTAAATAAAACAATCACTTAAATATTGTAAACATATTTATATATAATTTTGTGTCTTCTGTTTTCACTTAACATGATAACATAACCATTTCTCTCATGCTATTAAAAACTCTTTATATGCCTTTTTTAAAATGGCTAGAAAACAGTTCATCATCCTTACTCTTTCCCAGAAGGAAAATTTGGGTGACAAAAAAAATTATATACTTAAATGTGGTAAGTGAATGCAAATAGATACGCAGCACTATTGCCAGGGAGTATACAGTTCCCCTTACCTGTTTTTGGTGTGTTCTTTCCTAAAGAAGGCCTTTTGGTGTTTTTTTTCCTAAAGTAACAGGCCCTCTTTTCTATGGTGAGGCCAGAGCGTAGCTTCATAAAGTACAAATGGCAAACTTCTTCAGTCTTCTGGGATTCTAAACAATTAAACAAATGGTGAGACTGTTTTATTCCATTCACTTTTGTTCTTTTGCAAACCCTGAGTGGAGCAGGCCAAGAAAGCAAGTTCAGCTTCACAGTATCTTATCAGAAATCTTTGGGGCCAGTTACGTTTCATAATTCAGAGTTTTTAGATTTTAGGATTGTAACATAGAGCATGTAATATAGAGCAGGAGGGACTGCGGCAGCACTCCATAATAAAATATTAGTTAATCTTATAGTGAAACACAGGAAAATTTACACAAAATGCAATAAAGACCTCATGTAAGTTCAGGTGAGGATTTACTTAACAAAATGAATTCAGGTATATTTTGCTGCTAAATGAATTATGAAAACTTTAGGTCTTTAGAAAAAATGTTTTCAGAATTCCATATAAGGGAGTGTGGTCCTACATCCAACACATATTAACCTGTTACTGAAAGCTTGGCCATTTGTCCAGGAGGCTGAATTAGAAGAACGAGGACAAGCGGTTTGAGGAGGAAGGAAAGAGAGTTTACTTTGCTAACAAAGGAGGAAATATGGTAGACCTTAACGGTCTCAAAATTCCGAATTCCCTGAACATAGGCAGAAATATAGAGCTTTTAAAGGCAGGGTTCTTGCCTTTAGGCAATTACTGTGGTTAACTATTCCAATTGTCCCATCTCTGCCAAAAACAAAGCCTGTGAACTCTGCCAGCTGCCCGGCAAGGAGTGGGGGGATGGAGTACGCTGGCACCACCTGGGAGTTCTAATAAAAGACTTAACCTGCTTCAGGGTTGCAGGCCAGGCTGCAGTTCCCAAAAGAGTGTGGAAGTTTTAAAAAGACACAAAAACTTTTTCCCCCTTTTTTTTCCCCAGGCTGTTCCCTCTGTTACAAACCTTTGCCTAACTGAGGGAGAACTTTTATTCATATGAAATCTGCAATCTTTTCTACTTATCTAGAATATACTTTTTAATAATATTGAAAGGATAGCTATAGTCTATAAAGTTTATTGACATTAAAATAACTGCCAAACCAGGTATGGTGGCTCATGCCTGTAATTCTAGTGACTCAAGAGGCTGAGGAGGGAGGATCACTTAAGGCCAGGAGTTTGAGATTAGCCTGGGCAAGACAGCGAGATCCCATCTCTAAAAAAAAAAAATAAAAAAAATTTTTAAATTTTTTAAAAACCTGACTGTAAAGGCAGCCTTGCTGAAATAACAGGAAAATATCTAATCCCATAATTTTCTAGTAGCAGCTAGAGATCAATCCTATGAGCTCTCTCTCTCCTCCTAGCTAACAGGCATCCTGCAGAGCTCTGTTTTCATAACATCTAAAAGGAGTCCAGGGGACAAAAAGGAAACCTAAATTTTTCTTTTTTACAGTTGCTACACCTATTGACTAAAACTGCCTTTACAATCTGTTTCTATAGCCTAAAGGTGTTCCTGAGAAGCCCCTGCATGGACAGCAGGGGAGCAAACACTAGGCCTCAGATCCTGCCCCAGATCATATCTTAAGGGCTAGATTGCAGACAAGATCTTTGACATCTGATAGCCACTTCTGTTGTTATCTGTCTGCCAAGAGGCAAGAGGAGCAGATGCAGCGTTCACAATATGCTGTTAATTTGGCTACAGCCGTAAGTCATCTTCAAACCCCCCCCCTTTTTACAATTCCTAAATAAAAAGCCTAAATACTTGATTCTCTCTGCCAACACACTTTTCCATTTCCTCTCTTGTGTTTGGCCCTTTCTCACTTTGGGGAAAGTTAAATAAACTTCTTCCTTCCATCCTAATCTTTGGAGAAATTTTTCTCAAACCCACATACACCAGCTCTACACAAGCACTCCACCCTAACATTGACATTTACTGAGTGTCTACAGTGGGCCAAGCACTATGCTAATGATTTTGCATATTTCTTCATTTAATCATTTACAATAATCCTGCAAAGTAGGTATTATTATCTCCATTTAACAGGTGATTATCTGAGGCCCTCAGGAGTCATGACATTTGCTCAAGATTACAGGGCTGGTGAGAAATTGTGACCGAGGTGTGTCTAATACCAAAGCTTTTCTTTCCACTACCATCCACTTACCTCCATCTAAAAATATGCTACACAGCAATTTGAGGGACTAACAAAATGCAAATTCAAATTAAAACATTTAAAGTAAAAAAGTTAATCGATTATTCAGTAATTTTATTTCATTTAGCAAAGAAAAATTTGAGTTTCAAGTAAAAAATTAAATTTACTACTTTGATATTTTAAAAAGGCTTTCAGAGTCAGAAAATTGTAACAAGAGTTTTAGAATCTCAACTTTTAACATTATACTAAATGAATTATCAAGCAATTTATACAATATAGTCAAATTTTAATTCATAGTAATTCATAAAAGAAAATAATTTTCTCTGACTTTGGGATCTATTCTATGATTCCTTTTAATTCTCCAGAATATTTGTTTTCCTAAAATAATGCTTTTCAAAGTCAAATGGAATAAACTTTTATTAGCTACTATTTTTAGTTATCCATATCTTACCCCCCAATTCAGATGGGCAGCTACCTTTAAGTATCTTCAACTATCTGAACAAGGGAAGATCACTTACTTATATTCACATCTACCCTGGAACTCCCTAACATTGATTCATAATCCAGAGATATCAACCTATGGTATTTCACATTCATATACGACTGCCTTTACAATTGCAAAGATAATTTACAAAGCTAACTAGTACCAAAGCCAGCATTGTTCTTGTTCTCCTGACAACTAATTTAATACAATACTTTATTAACAGTTGTCTTAGTCTGTTTTCTGCTGCTATGACAGAATACCACTGACTGGGCAATTTGTAAAGAAAAGAAACATATTTCTCACAGTTCAGGAGGCTAGCAAATCCAAGAGCATGGTGCTGGCATCTAGTGAAAGTCATCCTTTAGCAGAAGGGTAGAAGGCAGAAATAAGCCCACAAAACAGAGCAAGGAAATTGGGCGAACTTGCTTTTAAAACAAACCCAGTCTTGTGATAACTAACCCCTTCCATGATAACATCATGAATCCATTCATGAGGGCGGACCCCTCATGACTAACAGTCTTCTTAAAGGTTTTTCCTCCTTTGTAGGCAAAGTCATGCAACTTCTCTTTCCTTATCCTCAAACCACTTGTTCTCTTTCTTCTGACATGGCCTCAAGATCAAGTGCTGAGCTTTGATTGACACTGCCAATCAGAGAACCAGACTATGGCCGACAGAAACTACAGAGGTAAATTACTTCACTTTTCATTTCATCTACAAATACCTATTTTGCCAAGGTCTCTTCTCACTACTTACTACCCTTGATCTGTGTCATTTCACTCTTGGAACCTCTTCCTTCTTTGAATCCCTCTTCCCTTATTGCCATATCATCAGTCCTCTTAGGTTCTCCTTGTTTCTCTTTGATCAGTTTACCTCAGTCTCAGTTAGTTATTCCTCCTCTGCTGCTCCTAAAATGTTGGTATTCCTCAAGGTTTTGCCTTTTGCCTTCTCCCCTGGCTCTAAAGTTTCTTTCTGAGCAGTCTTGCTTATTCCAATGACTTCAATAACCTTTTTAGAGGCTGATGACTCCCCAAACTGCCACAAACTGTAACTCCATCTTCCGTTTTTCTCCTGAGCTTCCTAAATGTTGCTCTTTCTCCAAAGGGCATTTTGACTCAGATACCTTAAAGCATCTCATCTATTTCTACGTATATCCTCCTGAATTCTGGACATCTCTACCTGGATGACCTACAACTACCCTAACCTAAAATATAGTCCATCTTCTGCTACCATAACAGAATACCACAGGCTGGGTAATTTCTAAAGAAAAGAGATTTATTTGGTTCACAGCTCTGGAGGCTGGGAAGTCCAAAATTGAGGGGCTGCATCTGGTGAGGACCTTCTTGCTGTGCCTTAATATGGCTGAAAGCATCATATGTCAAGGGAATGTGCAAGATAGAGGAAGGATGGGGATCAAACTTCATCCTTTTATCAGGAACCCACTCCTGTGATAGTGGCATTAATCTATTCATGAGGGCAGAGCCCTTGTGATCTAATCACATCTTAAAGGTCCTACCTCTTGTCACAATTGCAATTAAATTTCAACATGAGTTTTGAGAGAGAGAGAGAAAGGCAGTCACATAACTTTTATTAAAATATATTCTATTATTTATTGTTAATCTCTTACTATGTCTAATTTATAAATTAAACTTAATCATAAGTATGTATGTGTATGAAAAAACGTAGTATATATAATGTTTAGTACTATCTACAGTTTCAGGCATCCACTGGGGGTCTTAGAATGTATCCTCCATAGGTAACGGGAGACTGAAAGGGGCAGCCTTGCAGTGGATAACAGCTATTTGTTTAGGTAATTGAGCTGCCTGTATGAGTTGTATGATGAGATTGGCATGTTTGACAGAAGTGCCTTGTGCAGTGAGAAGTCCTCGTTCTTTCCACATAGCTGCATGAGAGTGTAGAATATGACAGGCATACTTAGAGTCAGTGTAGCTGTTTAGTCTTTGATCTTTACCTAATTGTAAGGCCCTAATCAGGGCGATTGGCTCTGCCTTTTGAGTGGAGCTGCCAGATGGTAGAGGAGCACTCTCTACTGTATGAGTAGTGGTATCCTGCCTTGCGATAGCCATCTCAAACATAGCTACTTCCATCAATGTACCAACTATGATCTGGGCAAGGTAGTGGGGAATTAGAGAGGTCTGGTCTAACTGCAGTGGATTCCTCCAAGATTTCTAGGCAGGAGTATTCTGGGGGCTCAGGAGAAATGGGAAGCAGGGTAGCAAGGTTTAAAGCCAAACATAGGAGAAGAATAATAGAAGAGTTATTTATAAGTAAGATTTGGTACTGAATAATATAGCTAGAGGTTAGGAAGTGATGAGCTCTGTTGTTTAATCAATTGAGAACCTGATGAGGGGTATAAAACTGAGTTGGCTGTCCATAAGTCAGTTTGTTGGCTTCTTGGACAAGGAGTGCTCTGGCTGCCAGGGCTCTTAGACAGATGTC